TCCCGTCGACTCCAGAACGCCCGTGATCGGCAGAGTCAGCGCCGGTTCCATAGCTATGCAGAAGACGTTACTTCAGTATCTCATTGAAACGTTTTTGCAATACAATGATGTAGCTAATCAAAGGAAAAAGCATTTCCATCAGTTCTAACAACATGCACGATGAGCTAGGCAACAAAGCATAGCGCAGGGCCCTGAGCTTCCAAGCTCTCTCGTATACATGACCACTGCAGTCACTACTACTGAGTAGCCTGTCCATGGCATGTAACTTTGTAAGGGTGTTTTGACAAGGAGGTTTTGTATCTCAGCTTGAGACGTCACAAGTCATCTGCACAGATAATAGTGCCGTGTATGCAAATTTTGATCTGAACGCAGTACACAGTACAAGTCATGTCATGGTTCTGATGTGCACGCGCAGTACTGTTTGTACAGTTCTAGCTGCGAAGTACAGTGTATCTGCTTTACTGACAAATTTGTGCTCGTAGACTACAGCAGACTGTCAGTCCATTCATTGAAAACTGGCACCCTACCTGTACAGAGTACAGCGTATCTGTTAGGTGTCTCCGCGGATCCGGCGTTGTAAACTGCCACCCTGTGATCATGGTGATGGACTGCTGCTGCTGCTGGCACGCGACGCTGATGCGACGTTTGAGTTTGCCTGGGACTGCGCTGACGGTGTACTGACCGTCAGGCTGGCAATGTCGCCAGAGCTCACCACTACTGTTGTGGAGTCAACTAAATCATGGCTCACAGTTGCGAAGAAAAGCGTCGATTAGATGGGGGCGGTGCACGTGCTCCAAAATGCCAGCTTGGCCAATCAGCAGTCAGCATTTCGTCGCATTTTTGCTCGAAGTAGGGGGGGGTTGAAGGAGTTAGCAGCACTTCAGCCAGGTTCTACGAAGCTGGGACTTGGCCCAGGCACAGATGACAGGTGTTCCAAAAGATTTACCGCAACAAATTTTCATTACTCACACGGGTATGCCAGAGCATATGCGTAAACTTCGGGAGATATAGTACAGCATTCGAAAGGAGTATCCAAAAACGTCTCGGTAAATTTCTTTGCCAGGGTCTCCTGAAATTTTTGAGCCATAGATTGTCCAAATCGACCAAGGGGGAGATGCTCTGTACTGATTTTAGTAACCCCGAGTCCCCGCGGCGCGCAACCGCTTGCGCGAAAATGTGTGAAGATCAAACAACAAGAAAAACGCATGCATGCAGCAGAACAGCAACGCGTGCCGTCGAAGAGAAAATCATTGTGCACAGATTGTTCAGTGTTCTCTCCTCCGTTCGCCCGAGGCGTTGGTTGCTGTGCTTTCATTCTCGCTGGAGTTCTTGTGGCAGCGCATTTCGCCATCATGGAGAAACTGGCACCCTGGGAAACCTGGTCTTCAGTGGCCCTGGACAAACGCCCGGTGGATTTGCTGGTCCCGTTCACCTCCATCCGATCACCAGCTCCGTGTGATATCATCATGTTCTCGGCGTTACCTGCCTGGCGAGCTCTGACTCGTTTGTTTGTCTTCTTACCTGTGGAATCATCACGATCGCTCATTGTAGGATCAGCTTTTGGTCGAACATGGCATGTTGTTTTTACTGGGACTAGCACAGGTTGCGTTTCGCCTTCTCCTTCAAAATATCGCGAACATCGGCTCTAAAATTAAGGATTCTTTACGATGTCGAGAGTGGTTAGCAATTTTTTGCGTCGTGCTCAAAGCCCCACCCACGCTGGTGGCGGAGGGCATATGTAGTGGAACAGATATTGTACCACCGACACCGAGTCCTGTCAGGATGAATGGCCATAAAGCCAAGGCACCTAGCCCTGCCGAGAGTTTGTGCAGTGTGCAGTGCGAAGCTAAGGAACCTTTGCAAGCTGGTGCGAGGAAACGGATACGCGACGCTCCGGATTGCGGCTTACAATCGGTAGGGAGTATCAATGTAGAAGGTGTTGTTTCGCTTGATTTACTAATCTCGGAATTCAGAAAAACAATGAACGAAGTTCTTGATGATAGAATGGCGGCCATAATTGTTGAAGTTGAAGAATTGAAGGATACATGCACAGAACTCAAGGAAAGAGTAGAAGTGCTTGAGCACCGCAACCGCAAACTGACATGCACTGTGGAGTCTCTTGGGAGATCCGATGCATCCAGAACGCACCCGTCATCTGTTGCAGGGCCCCAACTCGACCACACCGTATGGGAAATCGTCCTGGAAGAGCGCCGGCAACATGACCTCCAAGATAACGTGATCATCTCAGGACTTCCGGAGTCCGATGTTGAAAATCTCACCCAGCTTGTGAGCGGGCTGGTGCCCAAAGTGAACCCAACTGCCATTACCGTGAGACGAATAAGGAAGCCCTTGGAGAACAAACCCCGGCTGGTTCACGTTCAAGCAGCTCCGTGCCAAAGGTATAAGATGTACCCTTCCGCTTGACATAATTCTTGTTGAGGGAAAGCCGGTATCCCAGCAGGATATCCAGCGACTTTTGTCAGGTAATTCTTCTGCATAGGACCTACGGGGATCTCCAAAAACCGCATTTAGAGCAATAACACTGTGCACTATTAACTGCTGCAGCCTTATAAGCAAGCAAGCGGAAATCGTACAGTTAGTCAAGTCAGAATCGGTCGACATTATCTGCTTGACAGAAACCAGGCTCAAGCCCAATATACCAGATGCGGCTATTGCGATTCCTGGTTACACATTGTACCGTTTTGACCGCGCCAACACATCCCTACCATGGTCCCAACTTGGTGGGGGTGGAGTGGCGCTATTTGTCAAGGAAAAATATACGTGCAGTGTTCGACAACAGCCTGGGAATAACAGCTGTGAAATGCTATTGGTTGAGGTAAAGCTTCCTGGTAGACCTCTGTTTGTATCTGTTTGGTACAGACCTCCACGACAACCAATTGCTGCAATTACGAATTTATTTAACGAGCCCTCTCATGTATTCGATGACCACAACTGTATAGCGTTAGGTGATTTCAATGCAAGAAATTGTGCATGGAACAACTCTGACGTCACTGACAGTAGTGGTAGAGCACTGCAACTGGCATTTGTGCAATATGGATTCACGGTTATCAATAAGGATGGTAAACGCCCCAGTATGCGCAGTGGTTGCACTCCTCTACTTGACATCATAGCAACCAATATTCCAGATATCATCTCGTCAATCACCACTCTCCCACCCCTGTCAGACCACTGCCCCGTTATCGTTTCTCTTACACTACGTGCACCAACACCACAACGGACAACTCTACTGCATCGAACAATTGATTTTAATAGGCTTCGTTTCCTGATGGAAAGGGAACCATTCCTTGAGCGCCTCTATGGATGTGAAACTGATGATGCTTCTTGGAAAGCATGGGAATCCCATTTCCTAGATTTAGTTGAAAGGTCATCAACCTGGGTGCGTAAGCGTGATCAGCGAAATCAGACATGGTACACACCTGACCTGCGTCAATTTCAGCGGCGACAGAATAGACTGTACCATGCTTATTTGCGAAATCCACAATCAACTGAAGCAAAGGCAGCGTACTGTGTATCCAGGAATATTTATCGTAAGAAAATCCGTGCTGCCAGATCTGCCTTTCTTGATCGCAACGCTGCCAGTATCTCGAAGGGTTGCACGAAAGATGGATATGTGTGGTGGAGGAGAGTTAAGGATTTTTGCAACATTTCAACTCGTAAACCATTGATACCAGATTTGCAAGATGGCGATCGTCGGACTAACACGCAATTGGAAAAGGTGAACCTTCTTGCACAGCATTTCGCCAATCAGTGTACGTTACCACAAGAAGCAAATCAATTCCCTTGTTTAGATTCCTCCCTTGACACTACCACTCCTCGGTTCCAGATGCCAACATTTTCACCAGGTCAAGTCCACTAAGACCTTACAGATCTTTCGTCTCGAAAATCGACTTCAAGTAATTATGTTATTCCAGTACTCCGGTCCATGGCTGATTTAGTATGCGAGTCCTTGTCTTACTTGTTCAACTCCAGTCTATCCACATCACAATTTCCCAGTGCAAGGAAATCAGCAACGGTTATTCCTCTTTCCAAGTGTAAAGGAAGTGTTTCTTTGCCCACGAACTACCGTCCCATTTCACTGCTCCACCCCATCAGCCGCCTCTTCGAATCCCGCATAGCCCATCACCTGAACAGCTTTCTTTACCGTAATTGCAGAATTCCGCCCAGTCAATTTGCTTACGTTCCACAACGATCAGCTACGGATCAACTCATTCTTTTGACCCATCAGATTGCCCGTCTCTCTGATAGAGGCCAGAGATTTGACTGTGCATTTCTCGACTTCCAGAAAGCGTTTGATAAAGTACATCATCCTACGCTCCTGGGCCACATGAATGCATTCATGGCACCAGAGGCACACGCCTAGTTTGGGTCCTACTTGCTTGACCGTAGTCTAAATGTGAAGCTGGATGGAACTCCCTCTTCTCAATATATGCTAAACTGCGGTGTTCCCCAGGGTTCGTACCTTGCCCCTCCGCATTTTCTTTTGTATATCAATTCCCCTCTGCCTCTGTCTTTTAAGGCTATTCATACTTCATTTCGCGTACGGGAAATTCATCGCGCGACCTTCCCGCGATGGCTTTCCCCTTTGCGACGCGTTTCCCGTACGTAAAATGAAGTTTGAATAGGCCTTTAGTCTCTAGCTCTGTCTTTGTATCGGTCTCTGTCTTCGTCTCTCTCTTCAAGAAACCAGACATGGCTTTGTTATGGATATCCGAAATGCAAAGTGCAAACATGCAGACAAGCATTAGTATCAGGTGTTCACTGAACAGCTTCTTGAACATATGGTTCTCCGACTATGGAAACCATGCATGATGCAACTCCACAAGCCCCCCCCCTCCCCCTCCTAACCCTTGCCCTCAAAGCATACATAAAAATGCACACACCTAATCAACAAATCCGTTGATCCCCGAGCTGCAGAAAGTGCTCTATGTCAGAAACAGAACTTAGAACATAGCAGACTCAGGGGAGACGCACAATAAAAATAGTTTTCAGTTCACAATTCACATTCCTGCTGTGGAGGCATCAAGGAAAGAATGGGTAAGTTTGGAGGTGACTATAGAGGTAAGAGTAATATTCACTCAACCAATCTGGGTATATGTTACAGGGGATTAGGCAGCGTAAAACTAGACAATTACTTGACAACCAGAGAGATGTGAAAACAAAGATTAGCAACTTTCTGATAATAGAAAGAAAGTGAAAAGCAGTACAGTTTGCATACTGTAGTTATCATCAGTGATTGACTGTAGTTAGTAACCTACTACACTCACACACTCATATCCAGTGTGTACAGAGAACCAGGAGTGTCACTGTCACCTACACTGAGTACCAGTGTACTGCCAAACAGTGTGAGTGATGGAGTGTAACAACTGTACTCTGGCATAGCTGGTAGTGGATAGACCTCACCAGATGAAATATCATATACCACACACTTGGCAGAAGGAGTGTTGGGGCAAATAACCATGCAATGGTCAGACAGTGCGCATGCTGCACTAAACTTCAGCTTAACACCATCAGGTGGAGTGGTGGACACCCACCTACCATCATGGTGTTTGAGAAAACAACCAGTAACACCACCAGCTAAGTACAGTGAATCAGGGAATGTAACAAGTGATGCTTCGCTGCATGGTGGTGGCAATGAAGGCAATACTAGGCTAGTATTGGATGGTGAAGAAGAAGAGCTCCACTGCTTGCTAGCTAGAGAATAGATACTAACATTATTTTGATCTGTTCCATAATGCCTGCCACCATATAGAGAAATAGCATCAGCACCTACATGTAGAGTACACCAGGCATGCTTACAGTGCGACGGGACGTCCGTAAGTTTGGTCCACTGACCACCATCACCACCACTGCGGCTGCCATCACCGTTATCTGGTGTGTCACAGTACTGCAGAATAGAGTACACCCGTGTGTTGGTGCTCTTGGTGTATGTGTTACAGTGCATGTACAGCATACCACCATGGGATGCCAGTGATGGGGCTTGCAGCTCACTGTATTCACTTGGTAGGTCAATACTGTGCCATGTCTGCAAGTCTGATGTCTCCATGATATTGGAGATGTACACACCATCACGCCACACAGCAACCAGTTTGTCACTGTACGTGGCAAGCATGGCATGATTACCATGCTTCTGTCCTTCAGACTTGTTCCACTGCGTAATCAAAGAAAACCACATACCGGATAACACACAGGCACAAAAACAGACATCAATAGACACACACACACGCTCACTCACGCACACATACACACACATACACACACGCACACACACACACACACACACACACACACACACACACACACACACACACACACGCACACACACACACACACACACACACACACACACTCACAAACACAACAACAACAACAACAAACACATGCACACACGAACACACACGCACACACACACACAAAGAACACACACACACACAACGCACACACACACACACACACACACACACACACACACACACACACACACACACACACACACACACACACACACACACACATACATGTACACATACAAACCGCACATAATAAGATACATAAACAGAAATGACTACAAATCTACTGTAATGTACATGCAAGGTCTTCATTGCAGAAGATAGGCAGGGAGGCACAGTCCGTTGGTATTAGACCATGATGTAGAAATGAGAGGTACCCGGTTCAAGTCATGATTGGAAGCGGAAGGATTTTTCCAGCTGTACTGCGACCTGCAGAGAATTGGGTCACCAGTAGCCTTTGGCAGGTAGTGCTGGCTGAATATTTTACAGAGGTCGGTGCTTTTTCTGGTAAGTTTCATTCATGTTTGGTATGTAGATAAAAAAATAGAGCAGAGGTCAAGGAAGTGCATGCCATAATGTTTGTATGGTTCTGACAATTTCACTGCGTTAAGAGCAGAATGTGCCAGTTTTTGAAGGGTCAGTCACAAGTGACTGGTGTTCTTATTTTTTACCAGGTCAAAGTACCCCTGCCCCCCCCCCCCCCCCCCCCGCAATCGGGTCACTGACCTGGCTAACCTGGTCCTGGAGCAGATACTGGTTGGTATTTTTCTAACCAGAACATATATTCATGTTATTAGAGAGGTTTTGCATTCCGAATTTCGGATTGTTTTTCGACTGTGCCTTTCCGAAAAAGTGCTTGCTTAAAAACGGCATTTTCAGTGTTTTGCATTCTGAAAATCTGATTCGACTTCGTTTCCAAGGGTTGCCATGGAAAACGAAATGGAGAGAGTCGAAGGCGCCAAAACCGAAAACTGTTTCCGTCCAAATCTTGCAAATCCGGTTTTGAGGTATGCTGGTACCATGGTCCAACAGCAGCAGCGTGTGGCAGCAAACTTTGGGTCAGACGAGGCAAGAAGTTTTGCAGTCTCCTCGGATCCCACAGAGCTGCGAACAAAGGGGTTGAGCACAAAATAGGAGTTGCCTGAGCAGGATCAAATGCATGCCGGGAAGCCGGGGCAGGTCAAACTGAATTTGGGTGCGGTTCGAAGACGAGGCTGCGAGGACGGACCGATGGTGGACCGAGTGATCCAACGGCTGAAGACGAGGTTGACGAACTATGTCTTGTACCAAGAGTACATAAAAATGTACTCTTGCTTGTACTGTCAGTAGGCTCCATGGCAAAGGAAGATAGAGTGTGATGGAGTGTGAGAACATCTAGTCAACATGGCGAGAGCAGCAAAAACCAGCAAAAACCAAAACTACACACGTGGAAATTTTTCAAATATAATCAGTGAGAGCAGCAGAAAACAAAAATACACACATGAAAAATATTCAAATATGCGCTCCTAAACAGGAAAGAGCCGAAAATCCATTTTCCGAAAACCATGCACTTTCGCCACAGCACTTCCGAAAGTTCGACTACTTTTTCTACTCTTGCCGCCACATTCCGAAAATATTTCCGAAATTTGGAACGCAAAACCTCTCTATTGACGCAGGCAACCTCTGCTATACTGCCTCTGGTTATACCCGAAAGTTTGTTGTACGTCATGCGATTGAAATTAATCAGTTATTTGTTAGCACAAGTCGAAGATGTCTAGTGAGAGCCTGTAGACCGATTGTTTTCACCACATACACACCACAAAATGACGGCATACTGATATTAAACACCACATTTTGGCCGCAAATTCGAAATCAAAAACTGAATTCCACGTTTCATGTGAGACTCAGATAGAGCCTGAGTTTCCCACATTCGTAGGAACTCCACAACCGTCGAGGATCACGGTGCAGATGCATCCCCTGAAGAGTCAGGAGGAGAGCACATCACACCCACCATTATAGTGGTCAAAGATGTAGAATCTCATTTGCTGCATCCATGCTTCTCTCGGGGCCAGGCCAGGAGTTCCCAATTAACCATGGGTCTCAGCACGGCTGGAAAAATCCTTTTGTTTCCAAACATGAGTTGCAGCTATTACAGTAAAACCTGGTGTAAGTGACCTCTGGGTTAGCCAACTCTGGGTTAGCGACCTCTGGGTTAGCCAACTCTGGGTTAGCGACCTCTGGGTTAGCGACCACCTGCTATTAACCACCTCTGGGTTAGCGAACACCTGCTATTAACCACCGTTTTTACATGCACTGACAGTTCTACACAGACTCTGCGAGACCTGGTTCTAAAGACCACCTGGTTCTAAAGACCACCTGGTTTTAAAGACCGCTTTTACATGGATGCAGCTAATGGGGTCGTTCTCGGTACTTGTGCCAGTGGTTGTGAGACTTATCCACTCACCCCCACCGTTAGGCGCTGCATCTGCCGCTAGGGTTTACCGGGTGTTAGCGGCCGTCGTCAGTTCCCTTCGGGAACGGACACGATAAGTTACTCTCTTTTTTATACTTTTGCTTGCACCGTAAATGTGGTGGCTTAAACCAGGTTTTACTATATTTGTTTCTTCTGTTTCTCACCCATGCTCCTAGACCATTCCATTGTTAGCCATAATTAGTTACAAAATCCATGGCATGTTCTATGATTTTTTGGGATAGTTTTTGGGGATTACACCTAGGGCTGAGTCGGGTAGCATTTTCTTCGGGCATCGGGTTAGGGTAGTTTTCCACGGGTAGCACGGGTACCCGATCGGGTAATGTTTCCATGGTAACACCACCATGCACCCTTTCCCATACACACTGAGTGCGTTCGATTATGCCCGCGAACCGTCATGAATCGCCCCTGGCTATTCACATCACCCGATGTGAATAGGTGAATGGATTCCGAATCAATTCCAGAGCTCGTGACATGAAATCAAACGGCGAGATTCCATTCAAGAATCGAGTCGCGGGCATAATCAAACGCACTCACTGGGTAGACATGAGGAGTATTGCCGTGATTACATGAATTTGTACACGTGCACTGTACATGATGTCATCTGCGACTTCGGGTTTTCAGGTACTATTCTGTACCCGTCTACGCGAGGTCCTCGCGGGTAGCACGGGTACCCGACTACCCGTGCACACCACTAATTATACCCAGGAAAGGTATACATACTATCCACACTTGTTTGAAAGTGCTTCCAAGTATCTGGTATTGACACCTGTCTAAAATTGCTACCCCTAAGTCTGAAAACACAACGGACTCGTTCAATCTTACCTTTCTGCGTATCCTGATGTTTGCAATCTGTGTTGGGGTTGGCATAGCAGGTAAGACATGATATCCTCTACCAACGGATGAAACAGCTGTGCTTGCAGCTCCTGTGGCCTGTGCCTAAAAGCAGCAGAGAGGCACCATCAAGAGAGAAGGAATCACATAGAAATGAGTTATGAAGCAACTATCCACGACTGTAACAAGATGATAAGCAGTCAGAAAGTGCGATAACAGGGTACAAAACTGACAGGCCACTGAGACATTAGATTAACGACCTGAGACCTAGCTCTAACACATCTCCAGTATGCATACCAACAGCCTCGACACACCGAGCGAACGACGCCAAAGCAAACAAAGAGCGAAAAAAGAGTGCTCCAAATTGTAGTTATACCGCATTGTCATGTTATTAACTGGTCTCGTTAGCGTCCTGTAACGGTCGGCATTCTTTGTTGCCATGGGACTTAGCTTGTGTACATTTTCTCTGCGCTAACCTTCCCCTCATTGGTCCTTCCATAATTTTGAACCTTCCAAGCTGGAAGACTGTTGGTTTGCGCACTGGAGATGTGTTCTAGGTCTCAGGTCGTGCTAGTTGCACTGGAAACTATGCACCAAACTGTCACAGTGAGTTAATGAGGCACAACCTGGGACAAAAAGGAGCCACATTTGGGCAAAATTGCATATTTGGCCTTGTGCGGATATCTTGGTCGCTACCGACATTGACTCTGTTGGATATCGTACAACAGAGGTATGTCTTTTAACTTACTCTAGTTACTGCAGGAGAGCCAGTCACGGCAGGGGCAGTGGCAGAAGTTGAACTTGACTGGCTGTCTTGTGCAGCAATGGGACTAGAAACAGGTACCTGCAGTTTATAACAACGGCACAGACACACCAACACACGCACACACACACACACACACACACACACACACACACACACACACACACACACACACACAAACATGCACACACACACACATACACATACACATACACACACTCACACACAAATATGCACACAAACAGACAAACAAATGGTTTGTTACCTGAGAGGTTTTATATCTGGCAGTGACCGGATATCGGACTGGATTCTAGAGGATACCCGGTTATGTGAAAGTTGTATTGGTATAATTATAGGGTGGTGCATGTCAGGGAGGGCATTATGAATTTTTACTGTTAAACTGGCAATCAGGGTGAGGGGTTATATGGGGGATGCTAAAGACCAGTTGACATTCAACAGGGCGTGACGTGACATGCCTTTAGAAGGAACAGGACACTCATGACGCTGATTGACAGCGTCCAATGTGATTGTCAGAAACGAGAATGCAACCGTGCTACCGTACAAACCGGGAAGTGTAGTACAATTTCCCGACTAACATGGAATCATACGAGAAAAATCATCAAAATCAAGGCGAAAATCATCTGGTGTGAAATCCGTTGTCACACAGGATTCTGACAAATCTGCTACGATTTTCTTACGATACGATTTTTCGACCAAGAATCGCAGGATCGATATTTGACCCAAAGGTGGGCTGACTTTTAGTGCTTTCACAAGCTGGAGCGGACCTTCAACAAGGAATTTCACCATGACAGCAGAGAGAGTCGGTGAAGATTGTGAACTAGCCCTTTCATGCTTTTGACCCTGTAGCTTATGTATATAGAAACTATCACATCTCCGCTCTGGTATCTATCACTCTCTAGTGTGGCTGTGTACAACTTGTATGTGTGTACACAGTCAGGTCTACAAGTGAAATACCTCACTATTGAATGTGTGAACAGGTAGTTTGACTCATCCGACACAGTCAGCAGATTTCATGTCGGAGGCGGTGTCGAAGCATTGGCCGATAAACTGGCCTAGTGTGAAACCGGCATTACAGACAAAAAATGTTGTTTATATTACCGTAGCTGTTGTAGCAGAGGCAGTGGCAGAAGCAGAACTTGACAGGCTTTCTGAGGTAGTGGTAGGCCTTATCTGCAGCTGACGGAAACACACACACGCACACACACAAACACACACACATTTGTACATGCGAACACAAAAAAACATCAACCCAGCAGTTGGTCGTACATAAATTTCCTTTAAGCCAAGTTACAGAAAATTTCAGAACACTATTGTCAAGCCTACCATAATGGGGCTTGAAAGTGATGACATCAAAACGGCCAGTCTGTAGTAAGTCCACGTCAGATTTCTACGTTTGGATCCACTAACGTGTGACTTTGCTATTGCCTACAGTGTGTGAGTGCATAGCAACTACCATAAAGTCGCGGATAAAAGCCGGGTTTGCATACAAGCACATCGCGGATAGAAGCCTGGAAATCAAACGGGTCAATGCATATAAGCCTGTCGCGCGTAGAAGCCTGGCTTCTATGCAAGCGCGGATCGGGTAGGTCAAGAGTGCATGCACTATTTACAGTGCACAGTAAAACTGCCGCCATACCGGTAGTCAGTGGTAAATCTACGCGTGTTGCGCGTAGAAGTCTGGCTTCTATGCAAGCCCGGATCGGCCGATGTGCATACAAGCCTGGCAAAAATGTCAGTGGTGCATGTAAGCATGGTTTGCATACAGGCCTGGTTTGCATTGAAGCCTGATGCAGGAAGCGGCTTATGTGCTTATAAGCCCGGGTTTTATCCGCGACTTTACGGTAGTTGTATGCACAAGTAGTTGGGTACCCGTGCTACTCGTGAGGATCTCGGGGTAGACGGGTACATAATAATACTCTAAGTCGCAGTTGACATCATGTACAGCGTGAGTGTACAAATTCATGTAACACTCCGCATGTCTACCCAGTGTGTAAGGGAAGGGGTGCATTGTGGTGTTACCATGGAAACATTACCCGATCTTCGCCACCAGTTGTCACCCCATCCTCATCAGCCAACCCAGTAAATTTTACCGGCTATATCACCTTGCTGTGAGTAAGACTGCTTGAAATGTGCTTAGGTCCATACAAACACTGGATCCATGAGGATCCAGTTTTGAATTTTTGAAATTGTTGCTATGCTGTGACGTAGCACTTTCAAGCCCTATTATAAACCTGATTGCAGGCACAGATTGCAGTTGTCTGACGTCATAATCTTCCAAAATAAGCAGTGTTATAGCGAAAACAAAAATGAAAGGGGGGAGGGGTGGGGTGATCATCTGATCCACAATTTAGTGAGTTTTACCGCCATCTTGTGCCTCCATTCTCTGCTGTGCTAAAACAGGATGTGTAAGTATAATGCATATAAAAAGGTGGCGATCGCACTCTGAAGGTTGGAGCATTCTCTCTGAAAGGGGCAGTCAAAAAGTGAAAGAGGGCTTGGTGCCGCGCTATGTCGCCTTATCGAGAACCCTGAGAAGTTCAGCAGGCCCTCATGTTTGGGTTGGTGTCCACTGTACAAACTTCATCATCCACCAAAACGCGACCTCCGGTGTGGGATCATCCAACTTTTGTACAATTAACGCCAAAGTGGTTTCCACTATCTGGTTTAGTAATGCTTTGCAAAGCCTTCGGACTAGCTGGTTTGGGGGCAAAAGCATTGCGAATGACAATGTATCTATCCATGAACAACACTGACTGACATTGCTATCCAATATTCATGAGGTGCTTGTTGCACTGGAAACTATGCACCAAACTACACCAAACTGTCACAGTGAGGGAATGAGGCCCAATCTGGGATAAAAGAAGAGCCACATTTGGGCAAAATAATAGCAAATCTGGCCTCATGCGGATATTTTGGTCGTTAAAGGGGAAGTTAAGGCAAAAATTAAAATTTCACCAGTTGTAGTCTTCGGGGTGCTGAGTCGAATGGTCTTGGTCCGAGAAAGCTGAGACGCTCCCTTCCTACTTGAATCCCAATCGAACTCGCGCACTTCCACCGAAACTGGGTGACTGCGCCCTACTAGATGGGGATTTGTATGCAAAATGTCACTAAAAGCGCCATTTCGTTCTTATAAAAGCACGGATGACCGCGATTGGCCCATATGTTGTAGTCTTGTGGACGCTGAGTCGACTGGTTTTGGTCCGAAAAGGCTGCGATGCAGCGTTCCTCCTTTATTCCCAATCGAACATGGTTGAAGAAGCGGTCACGTGCTCCTGCGTACACCAGTCACCTGGTCACCGTGCCTGCAGGGTACAACTTACTAGCCTGTTTGACCTTTTTTGGGTGCAGTCCTGTCACTCGAGTTGAACCTTGGTGTGAAAGTTGTCACCTGCTGGCGTGGTGACCAGGTGATTTGGGCACCCAGGACCACGTGACCGCTTCTTCAACCATGTTCGATTGGGAATAAAGGAGGAACGCTGCATCGCAGCCTTTTCGGACCAAAACCAGTCGACTCAGCGTCCAAAAGACTACAACATATGGGCCAATCGCGGTCATCCGTGCTTTTATAAGAACGAAATGGCGCTTTTAGTGACATTTTGCATACAAATCCCCATCTAGTAGGGCGCAGTCACCCAGTTTTGGTGGAAGTGCGCGAGTTCGATTGGGATTCAAGTAGGAAGGGAGCGTCTCAGCTTCCTCGGACCACGACCATTCGACTCAGCACCCCGAAGACTACAACTGGTGAAATTTTAATTTTTGCCTTAACTTCCCCTTTAAACGACATTTAATGCTGATGTTCAATAACTTTAGCTGTGTTCACAACTGGCACGTGTACGTGTGAAACCACTCGTTCGTGCGTATTTTGCTGGCTTTTGGAGCGCCATGGAAACACGCCGAAATGGAAATATCAACATGCTGGAATTTTCAGCGCGTATCAGGCGCGTACCAGCGTACATGCCAGTCACATTGACTGGCGGGGTCAAGACTTAGTACTCGAAGATGTCGCACGCGCTAAATACGACTCGGATTGATTGCTGTTTTTTTGTGAATGCCTGAGCGCGCGTTTTGGTACGCATGAACCGCAAGAGTACCGCGTCCACGCGCCAGTTGTGAACACAGCTTTACAATACCGTAAAATTCCGTCAATATGCCCCGTGCGTATACTTTGCAGAGTGTCAAAAACCGGGCGTATATTTCGGCATGGGCTCATTTTAGGGCATGGGCGTCATTTCGAATGCAATCTGCAGGAGATCAATCAATCAGCAACTCATTGTTGAAACTTCTACCTGGCACTCAAGACCACTACAGAAATGTGAAAACAAAAAGCCGCCAGGAGTCAAAACGGAGGGAAGCGCTTCGTCCTCACGCATCACCACGAGCCACTAGGTACAGGTAAGCGCGACATGTTTTGCTACATTTTTTGGCAGTTTGCTACATTCCAAAGGAACATCGCTGTCCTCGCGCGCGCGCGCGCGCGCGCGCGCCGTGCCAGTGTTGAGTTCTGCACTGTTCTGCGTGCAGTTGGATGGCACGCACTCGATCTACAACTGTTCTACAGTTTGTACGCGAACGCACACTCGCTCGCTGGTCGTTTTGAGTCCACTTTACGCCCTGGGCTTATTTAGGGCATGGGCGCTAAAACGGACTTGAAGTGTACACCACTTAAAACTGGGCTTATTATCGGACATGGGCGTTATTTAGGGTAGGCTTATTATCGGACATGGGCGTTATTTATGGTGGGCTTATTATCGGACATGGGCGTTATTCGGGGTGGGCTTATTATCGGACATGGGCGTTATTTAGGGTGGGCTTATTTACGAAATTTTACAATATACATGTAGGTTATGTCATTTAACTTACTCTCGTTGCTGTAGGAGAAGCAGGGGCAAGGGCAAGCGCAGTGGCAGAAGTTGAACTTGAGCGGCTGTCTTGTGCAGCAATGGGACTACAGACAGGTACCTGCAGTTTATCACACCGGCACAGACACACACACAGAAACACACACACACACACACACAGGCACATGGACACACATACAAACACACACACACACACATACACACACACACACACACACACACAAGCAAACAAAAAGTTCATTCGCATGATAATACAAGTAAATAATACAAAAACATGCTGGATATAATATGTGAAGAAGAGGTTGGTGCGACTTCGGCGTTAGTAGGGGAAGAGTGTGTTGCTCACTACATGGGAGCTCGCGGTTTTCCTGCCGACTTGAATTCTCACTTGACTGACTCACGACTGGCATCCTGAGCACGCGAGAAGTCCATTGAACCATCCACTCGGCAAACCTGCAAGAAAGCACCACTCCCTGCTCAATACACAGTGTTTTGGGGAATTCACCCCTCATCAGTTGAGCTTGAGTAGGCTTAGGAAAATTGGGCCTCAAGAGCACCACTTATATAGTGCTCTCCAGGCATAAACATCACCAGGGATACAAATTTACAGAGACGCTCCGTTTCCAGGGCGACAAACATCTCGGGAACACCAGATAGCAGCGTGAGTCAGTGTCGCTCATGGAGGTGCTGAACAAGCGCTGAGGACAGTTGGCCATTCACAACGTTGTTGCCTCCAAACCATCTAATTCGCAAGCCCGTGCTGGGGACAACAATGTGAAGAAGAGGTTGGTGGGACTTCGGTGATGGTAGGGGAAGATTGTGTTGCTCCCTGCATGGGAGCTCGCGGTTTTCCTGCCTACTTGAATTCTAACTTGACAGACTCACGACTGCCATCCAGAGCGCTTTGAGCAGGGAGTGGAATCGTAGAAGAATTGTCAGAAACTTGTGTGACAACGGAGTTCACATCAGGTTATTTTTGCCCTGATTTTGAAGCATTTTCTCCTATGATTCCATGGTCAGCCAGGAAATTGTCCTTTCCTTCCCGTTTTGTGCAGTAGGACGGTTGCATTCCCGTTTCTGGCAATCATATTGGTAGCCGTCAATCAGCGTCATGAGTGTCCTGTCGCTTCTAACGACGTGTTACGTCGCGCCCTTTCGAATGTGAACTAGTCTTTCCCGCCATGTCACCCCTCGACCTGATTGCAGGTAGTAAAATTCATAATGCCCTCCCTGGCATTCACCACCCTATAATTGTACCTCTAAACCCTTCATATAACCGGGTATCCTCTAGAATCCAGTCCGACATGCGGTCACTATCGGGTATCAAACTTTTACTTCCTCCGTTAAGCAACTTCGTTGCGATTTTACAGTTCTGTCCAAATCATTCTATGGCTACGAACACGCTTTGCAAAGTGGAAAACAAGGCAGCATATGAAAGATATTTATTTACAGATGTCACACAGCTCGTTTCAAAGCAGTCCAGCTTCACTCTTCGTCTGAATCTTATGACGATTCACTCCCTGATGACATCGAGTCTGCATCCTCGCTGACTGTAGCCGCCAGCGCTGCCAGCTTTTGTTACGCAGCCTTTACAAGTTTCCAAAACACGATTATTTTGATCGTGGAGATCGCCAAGTTCTTCGCTCGAACTGTGACCTTGACGACCTCCACGGTGGCGCTGATAGTTGTGGTCACTCTCCGGACCGCCATGGAAAGAGCCAGACAGACCCAAACAAACGCTCGCCATTTTTGCAGTGGTGTGTCGTGCCAGCACGTTTCCACACCCGAAGAAGCTCCTTTCTGGTTTTCTTCGCCACGTGTGACATGTCTGTCTACAGGCTGTGGAAGAACGCCAAGTCGTCGACGTTGAGATCAGGATTTTGCGCCGACTGAACGACAACCTGAATGCCGAACGCTTTTGATTTTCCCTGCGCTGCAAACACAATTGCATTGATTTTGGTTGTGTGCGGATGCGCACCATCGACTCGGTCTAGTAATCGTACAGCAGTGCCTGAGTGCTGGCCGGCTCCTGGACACTTCTTCGAGCCACGCGATCTTTCAAGCTGTTTCTCATTTTCGCACTTTGGTGTCATGCGCGCGCGCCTGGGGTTGTGTTCTGGTGACATCCTGTCGAGAAACGGTTCTGCTTCGCCGATTTTTCAAAGGACTCCACGCTTTTCAGAGGTTCAAAAGCCTGTCAGAACAATGGACGACAACTCAGCTACTCTATGTAGGAGATAGATCACTGACATGTATGTCTAATGCCGACAGAAATATCATGGCAAGAACACTAAAAACGCAACGAAGTTTTGCTTAACGGAGGAAGTAAGTGAACATATTATATCCGAAGAGTATGTTGCTCCCTACATGGGAGCTCGCGGGTTTCCTGCCGACTTGAATTCTAACTTGACTGATTCACGACTGCCATCCAGAGGACACGAGAAGTCCATCGAACCGTCTACTCGGCAAACCTGCAAGAAAGCACCACTACTTTCAATCAGGTTGAGGGGTGACATGGCGGGTGCTAAACACTAGTTCACAATGGAAAGGGCGCGATGTAACACACCGTTAGAAGCGACAGGACACTCATGACGCTGATTGACGGCGACCAATATGATTGCCAGAAACGGGAATGCAACCGTCCTACTGCACATAACGGGAAGGATAGGACAATTTCCCGGCTGACATGGAATCATACGAGAAAATGGTTCAAAATCAGGGCGAAAATCACCTGATGTGAACTCCGTTGTCACACAAGATTCTGACAAATCTTCTACGATTTTCTTATCATAAGATTTTTCAGCCAAGTATCGCGGAGTCGATATTTCACCCAAAGGTTTACTGATATTGAGTGCTTTCACGTGTTGGAGCGGGCCTCCAACATGGAATTTCGCCATGACAGCAGAGAGTGTCGGCGCAGACTGTGAACAAGCCCTTTCATACTTTTGACCCTGTAGCTTGTGTATATAAAAACGATCACATCTCCGCTCTAGCATCTACCACTCTCTAGTGTGGCTGTGCACAATTTGTATGTGTGTGCACAGAGAGGTGTAGAAGTGAAATAGCTCACTGTTTTATGTTTTGAATAGGTAGTCCGACTCTTCAGACACAGTCCGCCTATTTCATATTGTAGTTGGTGTCGAAGCATTGGCCGACAAACTGGCCTAGTGTATAAGGTCACACGTTTTTTTATTTCTATGTTTCTCGTCACCTGAAAATCTAAAAACGTATGCGAGAGGTGGAAAAAATGACCGAAAAATAAAAAAAAGTTGATTAGACCAGTGTTCACACTAAAATCCATCAATAAACCATGCAAAATAGCATCCATAATCAGCAAATAGTATGTGGTAGGAGCTTCTGTCACAATTTATGCGTGTGCAGCTAGATTGCGCACTAAACAATGCCGTCCTTGCATCAAGTGTCGCGCAGGCCAGGCCACATTATGTACATGTGCATGAGTGTGCTGGTCCCCACATGCACAGTCCGTGCAGCACAGTTTTTTCTTTTTTTCTTCCAGACTCCTGAATCGTAAGCACGCGGGTGACGAGAAGCATAGAAATAGAAACGTGTAGCCTAACTGGCATTACAGAGAAAACTGTTGCTCAACTTACCACAGCTGTTGTAGTTGAGGCAGTGGCAGAAGCAGAACTTGACAGACTTTCGGGTACAGTGGTAGGCCTCATCTGCAGCTGACACACACACACACACAAACACACACACACACAGACACACACAGACACACACACACACACACACACAAACACAGACACACAGACACACAGACACACAGACACACACACACAGACACACACACACACATACACACACACATACACACACACATAAACACACACACATGATGTGAGTGCATGCACACACAATAACATCAACCCCTGTAGTCAGTCACACATCAATTTCCGTCAAGCCAAGTTACAGAAACGTTCAATACACTATGGTCCAGCCCACCATAATTATAAACTTGATTGCTGGCACAGATTACAGTTGTCTGATTTCCTTATCTTCCACAACAAGTCCAGCATGTCCTCATGTTTGGGTTGGTGTCTGCTGTGCAAACTACTTCAGCCACTAGGAGCCTTCACCAATCTATGGTCCGATAGGATTTATTGCAAAATCGAATGACGAATTGCGAATGACAATGTATCTATCCATGATACAACACTGACTGACATTGCTATCCAATATTCATGAGGTGCTTGTTACACTGGAAACTATGCACCAAACTGCACCAAACTGTCACAGTGGCTCAATGAAACACAATCTGGGATAAAAAGGAGCCCAATTTGGGCAAAATAGCATGTTTGTCCTTGTGCGGATATCTTGTTCGCTACCGACATTGACTCTGTTGGATATCGTACAACAGAGGTATGTCGTTTCACTTACTCTAGTTCCTGCAGGAGAGCCAGTCGTGGCAGGGGCAGTGGCAGAAGCTGAACTTGATTGGCGGTCTTGTGCAGCAATGGGACTAGAAACAGGTACCTGCAGTTTATCACACCAGCACACACATACCAACACACACACACACACACACACACACACACACACACACACACACACACACACACACACACAAACAAAAGGTCTGTTACCTTAGAAGTTTTATACCCGACAGTGACCGGATATCGGAGTGGATTCTAGAGGATACCCGGTTATGTGAAAGTTGCATTGGTATAATTATAGGGTGGTACATGTCAGGGAGGGCATTATGAATTTTACTACCTGCAATCAGGTTGAGGGGTTACATGGGGGATGCTAAAGACTAGTTCACATTCGATGAGACGCGACGTAACACGCCTTTAGAAGCGATGGGAAACTCATGACGCTGATTGACGGCGTCCAATGTGATTTTCAGAAACGAGAATGCAACCGTGCTACCGTACAAACCGGGAAGTGTAGTACAACTTCCTGGCTGACATGGAATTATACGAGAAAAATCATCAAAATCAAGGCGAAAATCATCTGGTGTGAAATCCGTTGTCACACAGGATTCTGACAAATCTGCTATGATTTTCTTATGATACGATTTTTCGACCAAGTATCGCAGGATCGATATTTGACCCAAAGGTGCGCTGACTTTTAGTGCTTTCACATGTTGGAGCGGGCCTCCAACAAGGAATTTCACCATGACAGCAGAGAGAGTCGATGCAGATTGTAAACTAGCCCTTTCATGCTTTTGACCCTGTAGCTTGTGTGTATAGAAATGATCACATCTCCGCCCTGGCGTCTACCACTCTCTAGTGTGGCTGTGTACAACTTGTATGTCTGTGCACAGACAGCCCTACAAGTGAATTAGGTCACTGTTCAGTTGTGCTTGTGAACAGGTAGTCACACTGCTCCCACACAGTTCACCGATTTCATGTCCGAGTCCATGTAGAAGCATGGGCTGATAAATCGGCCTAGTGTGAAACCGGCAGTACAGAGAATAATGTTGCACAACTTACCGTAGCTGTTGTAGCAGAGGCAGTGGCAGAAGCAGAACTTGACAGGCTATCTGGCACAGTGGTAGGCCTTACCTGCAGCTGATGGAAACACACACACACACACACACACACACACACACACATACACACACGTACATACACACACATACACACACACACATATACACACACACACACACACACACACACACACACACAAACTGTACTGTACTGTATTGACAGCTACCCTAACGGATCACGCCGCCCTCCACCCAAGCATGGGTATGATGAGGGACAGTGGCAACAAAACAAAAAAAACAGCAAGCAGAGAGAGAGATAGCAGGAGAAAGACAGTGATAGTAGTACATCTGGTGTGCGACGTATAGAAAAAGAGAGATACAAAGAAATACGCACAAAAATGAAACAATAATTATTTGAACCTGTATTATTGCAGTTCCGAAACAATCAACCAGGTGATTGAGTGTGGGCATTCGAAGTCCCACCTGGACTCCACTGGAAGAACATTCCACGCAGGGATATCAGCGATAGGCTAAGCGTTGAAAAACAGCCATGAGGACACATCGTCTAGAAGTCCACCGTGCTCGAACTGAAATTGCAGGATCAAACAATTTCCCACGTGTTGTCAGGCAGCGTAACCCTTCTCCCTGCATCACCATCCATCTCCAGGAACCGTAACTGATACTAGTAATTTAGTTGTTGTCGTCGATTGTAGTCATTATTGCGTATCCGCTAAACACAGATCTATCATGCCATGATTTGTACAGTGCTGGCAACTGAAATCCGACCCCCTTGTTCGGGGCGGTGCGCCTGCAAGGGGGTCGGATTTCAGTTGCCAGCACTGTAGTACGAGTAGTAGTGGAGTTGATGACCGTATCTCGAAGTCCGTACTGCGAGGTCCTCGTGTTGTCCATTTCAGCGGGTGTCATCTGCTATGATTGCGACCATGGTGACAGCCTACAATAAGCTGTGTGGCTATGGCGAAATCGCGTGATAGGCTAGCCGGCTGTCATGCGAACTCGATCTACACTCACTACCAGCCCAGGGACTGGTTTACACGACTCCCGGCTCACTAGTGCAATTATTTTTCTCAGTAGTCCCCCCCTGATTCAGCCGGCACTAGTTGACGCTAACCCGCCGCGTGCCACACGATGACCTTTATCTGATCTCTGTTTCAGTGGTCTGCAAACTCTAGTTCGTAACCGTGAGGATATGGGCGCTCACAGAAACTGACCGTCAGTCGGTCAGTCAAAGCCAAAGGGTCAGAATGGGCGCTTTCGATTACACGTTTACACAATTCTGGAACTGGGTTTTGTAATTCTCGAATGACCAAAATGTACGAATTCCGGCCATGTAAACGAACGACTGGAATTCACAACGCATTTTATTCATGCCATATCACAAATTGGATATTCAGCTTCAATTGCCCAATGAAACAGCGTATGCGGATGACGTAGACTTCATCAGCACCAGCCTACAATATTTGCATGACAATCAACCCATACTATCATCCTCGTTAGCGGAATACAATTTAAAAATGAATGAAGCCAAAACCGAATATACTACAATTAAAAGAGAAAAGGACAGAGGAGACGAGCGATGGCGGAACACGGTCAAACTAGGATCGATGCTTGGAGTGGAGGAAGATATCAGTCGGAGAAAACGTCTAGCAACATGCGCCTTACATCAGCTGTGGGTGATATGGCTAAGAGGTAACCATGCCCGTGAACCCCTTCGGATTAGGTTATACGGCAGCTTTATTCTCCCAATACTTCTTTATAACTGCGGCACATGGAGCCTGACAGAGACTCAAGAAAAGAAACTTGACTCGTTCCACCGCCAGCAGTTACGAGCAGTCAAAGGGGTCAAATATCCCCGTATAATACGCAATGAAGCACTGTACAAGCGCACTGGCTCCAAGCCACTCAGCAGAATCATCCAGTCTGCTAGGTGGAGAATGTTTGGCCACATGCTTCGACTAGACACCTCATCCCCGGTCCTGCAGGCTATGTCAGCATACTTTCAGCCAGGAAGCTCAGGGTTCCGAGGCCGCCCGAGAACAACACTCCCGCGATCCATCAACAACGGCCTGAAAAATTCCAGATCCACAAACTCCCTCACATCACACGAGGATCTAGTTGCACTGAGGCAGCTCGCCCAGGATCGTCGAAAGTGGAAGGAACTAATGTGTGCTGTGTGTAATGGCTGAAATTATACAATTACACTAGATACCCTTAACAATAATAACGGATACAATTACACTAAAATGGCAATAAATAAGATAAATTGTGCACTCATAACAACAGCAAAAATGAAGAAAGTCAAGTTCCATAACGTTTTCTTGTGACTGTCATCAGTGGAACGCCGTTACATAAAAATGTAATAACTAAAACACACACTTATATACATGTAGCTAATATGGTTTCAGGTAGAAATACAGCAGGTAGAAATACAGCTAACAAGTACAAAAAGCGAAGTTTGCACCTTTGCAATGTGTGAATATAGTGTATGTGAGAAAGGTAGTGGCAGATGAATGTGATACTGTGTGAATGAATGCACACTCTTCAAGTAATACACACGCACCATTACATTCATTCACACAGTATCACATTCATCTGCCACTACCTTTCTCACATACACTATATTCACACATTGCAAAGGTGCAAACTTCGCTTTTTGTACTTGTTAGCTGTGTTTCTACCTGCTGTATTTCTACCTGAAACCATATTAGCTACATGTATATAAGTGTGTGTTTTAGTTATTACATTTTTATGTGACGGCGTTCCACTGATGACAGTCACAAGAAAACGTTATGGAACTTGACTTTCTTCATTTTTGCTGTTGCTATGAGTGCACAATTTATCTTATTTATTGCCATTTTACGACTATTGTCTCCTCGTCGATTATTTAAACAATTACACTAGATACCCTTAACAATAATAACGGATACAATTACACTAGATACTCTAGATACTAGATACTCGGTACTCTAGATACTAGATACTCTAACAATTTTATCAAACATTATGATAATTACCACATCAAATGCTGCGGAGACCTATCCAGAATCGGCAATATGCTGGCCCTGGCCTGGAGATCTGCAACTATAATCAGCTTCTACTTTGCAACACTAACGGATTAGTCCCCTTTGTCGATTGATGGATCAATCGGTAGATTCGGCTCTGTTTTTCTTTCCTTTCTTTCTTGTTTTGAATTGTACGTTGAACTCATTGGATTTCTTTGTATTCTGTATCTCGTTATCGTTATATTTCCCTCTAGCCCTCTCGCTTACTTCAGTAGGATGAGCTTTCTTAATTATGGCAGCTTAAGCGAAGGCTATATACCTGCTTTATGCAGATTGATGCCAACGCGAACAAGCAAAATAATAATATCACAAACAAAATTGGCCGTAAAAAGATATCACGTACACCCTCACGCGCCCGTCGACCCAGCTTCGCGTACCGGTCCATTCCGGCGAAGGCTCCATGTCGGCAACAATATTGGGCTTCGATAAAGCTGAACGGGTGTGCGAAAGGACCACCCAAACTGATCTGGTCTAATAATCAGCTGCCAGCGGAAACTCAACAGCGGCAATTAGCTTATCGGGAAGACAAAAGTAGCTACTACATGCAGTTGTAGCCCTGCTTTGGCGCCACACCGGCCAGGGAGGCTCTTCCTTGACTTGAGTAATGCTGCATGACCAGACCCGTAACTTACGGGTCTGGTCACCGGGCCCTACCGGTAACACACGGAGTGTGCAATTCTGGCGCCAGAACTAGAGAAATTCCGTCCTCTTTTCAGAATTGGTGGATTTGACGGAATTGGATAAAATCAATTCTAGCGACGAAATTTGTCACTTTTTGTGTAATCGAACTGTGCATCAACAATAACTATTTACCGAAATGCGTGTAATCGAAAGCGCCCAATATACATGTACACGTTGATATTGATAAGGGTTACTGTATAACAGGAAAGTCTAACGAGTCAAAAAGTCTAACGTTTTAACGACAGATTTTGTTTCGTTATTTTAAAAAAAAACTTTATCGCTAGAAGTCTGTGTGAAGATGCGCATACAGATCGGTGACCAGGTAGAAGGAACCGGCGGATTATGCCGGCATAATTATTGGCATAATTTGGTGGTTGAAAATTTGGAGCATAATTTGGCATCCTCTCGGAGGTAGGAGCATAACTACACGATTATACCACAGTTGTAGTATGTAGGCTATACTGTTGTGTACAATGCACCTGATCAGTGCTAGTGGTCTGCATGGTAAAGGGTTCGGAGGTCATGCAGATAGTGTTTTCAATGAAAAGCAGGGTAGAAATCATGGCAATACAGTCACGGTATTGTATGCTCGAACTCGTCTTCTTCAAAGTTCTTTCTCACACTGACACAGTACATGTAGCAGAAGATGCGAGTGAATCAGCCTTCATCAGGTATCCCGTAGCGGACGAGATAGTGGCGGGTAGTCCGCAAAACTCCGTGTACATGTACATGTACATTACATTTGTACATTATGCATGTTACGAAATCCGATGATGACATCTGGTAGTCCGGATTTTAGCAGCCATGATATGACTGCAGTCGATGGATATTGCTCGAAATTGATGTATAGTTGATGTTCGGTCATGATGGAAGGAGAAGTGGAGCTACGGGAGAGATGAGCTGATTATTCGCAGGGTGAGGGTGACATCGGTTTTACGAGTATGATGATTATGAAGACCGTGAGTTGAACATGATCATTTTCAAAGGTAACTCAAACTAATTTGGCAATGAAATAAAAAAATTACTGAAGTACAAAAGAAATCAAGTGATGAATAGAAGAAGTAATGTTTTCTCTTTTCCATGTTGATCTCTAACATGCATGGACACCTTGCAGCTTGGTATGGGGATACTCATGTATTTTGTTGTACTTATGGCCACTTGCAACTTGCAAGCATTAAAAAGGCACAATTTTCCGAACTTTGAGGCTCCATAATTTTATAAAGGTACAACAAAGTGAATATATATCCAAGGATGCCAAAGCATAATATGAGGATTTTACGAGCATAATGCAAGAATCCATGAAAGCATAATTCAATGATTTCGCGAGCATAATCCGCCGGAGCCTACCAGGTAGCCATCGTTAAACTTTCTGC